TTGGCAATGCCGGATATGAATATCCACAAATCATACTTTTATTTCAACATAGTTTAGTCATACCATTAATATGTGCATTGATTTCCCCCCAAAAACACTTTAATGACTAACCCTGTAAGCCAGCATGCCTCCCTTGTTCATACCAGTCGCATCACATCAAGCCACAAGTCATAGTCTGGATTATTTTTCATGATAAACATTTTCAATTTAGCTTGGAGACAAATGTATTAATGTATGAGAACCCCCCTGACAGGCAGAGAAGGAAGAAGATCCCACAGAGCCAGGGGCGGACTGAGAGCCTTTGGGGGCCCCGGGCAAAATGAGAGGGGGTGATTAGTGACAGAAGGAGGGAGGGGGTGACTGGTGGCAGAGTGAGAGAGGGGGTGACTGGTGACAGAGGGAGGAGTGACTGGGACAGAGGGAGGGCCAGGGTGACTAGTGGCAGAGTGGGGGGGGGGGGTGACTGGTAACAGAGTGAGGGAGGGGGTGTCTGAGGGAGGGAAGGGGTGAATAGTGACATAAAGAGGGAGGGGGTGACAGATGGAAGAGTGTGAGAGGTGGTGGCAGAGTGAGGGGAAGACACAGTGGAGGGGGGTGACTGGTGACAGAGGGAGGAAGGGGGTGACTGGTGACAGGGTGAGGGGTGATAAGTGACAGGGGAAGGGAGGGGGTGACTAGTGACAGGGTGATTCCCCATTTTCCCCTTATTTCCTACCTTTCTCTCTGCTTCCTCTGGTCTCTCCAAGGCTGCTGCTCCTTCCCCTCGCTGGCTGTGAGAGGGCTCTGTGTGAGAGAAGAGTACAGGAAGTGGTCACTTCCTGGCCCGCCTCTCCCATCACACAGAGCGCTGCGTGGGCCAGGAAGAAGGCAGGGAGAGAGGAGGTAACGCTGCCAGGTCTAATTAAGTGGAAGGGAGGAGGGGGTTAATATGCAGAGGTAAGTTGCTTGGGCCCTGCGCTCCATCAGGGGCCCCAGCAACCTATTAAAGAAAGAGATATGATTTATTTTGCCGTTCCAGTTGGAGAGATCTCTGATCTCTCCAGCTTGAGCATGGCTGTGTGGCCGGGCCCCTGGCTGTCTCAGGCCCTCGGTCTATGACCGATGGGCCTGAGTGGTCATTCTGCCCCTGCACAGAGCTTTAGGCAGGTTAAAAGTTTGGGTCCCCCTTCACTCTTCCCATACAGATGGTTAATGTAGCCAAACAAATCCATGGTTATACTGTCCCTTTAGAAGTCTTGGGCAGGACCAGATTAATAGCCCTTGGCCATACAGATTGTTAATGTAGCCAAGCAAATTTGTGGTTATACTGTACCTTTCAAAGTCTTGGGCAAGACCAGCTTAATAGCTCCTGCCCAAGACTTCGACAAGAACAGAGGGTGCAAGCATGCAGACACTGCTGTTTCAACACCCTAACATGGCATGAACGCTTCTAATGGTGTGCATTTCTCTGGGAACATTTCTCTGGTGTCCCCCAGCACTCACTTGTCCACTTCTCTCCTTCCCTTATTACTAGCAGGTGAAAGCCGGACCCGTGCAAGAATTTCCATTCCCCACCATGGAAAACAGTTTGAGCCACAAATGCAGCTCCTATGGTGTGACATCAACTGAACCATGCCCCTGTATGCTCCATCTTAGAGTGGCGTCACCCATATAATCTAACACAATGTCACACACAAACAAGCTCACTGACACAAGCTCATTGATACACACAAGTTCACTACACACAAATTCGCAGACACAACAAAGCTCACTACAGACAAGCTCACTTATGCGTATACACATGTTCACTACAAACAAGCTCACTACAGACAAGTTCACTGATGCACACATATAGACACAATCTAACTGACATACACAAGCTCACTACAGACAAGCTCTGTGGCACAAGCACACTGTCACTCACTGCATTCTTGTCATTTTACATGTATTAGTACTTCGATGGTAGACTGTGAAAGGTTGCCTCATACTTCTGGTTGCCATTTCCCAGGGCTCTTCCATCAGTTCTTGGTCGGATGGGACTTGGGGGAGGAGTTGGGGGTACTGGTATCAGCCAGGCTGTAATCTGGAATGCATCAGTTACTTGTGTCTGTGGCCAGTATACCATCTGTTATTGGGTCTGCCTAAGTGGCCCAGACAGACACAAATGCTGTGAAAGCTGCCATGGGTCCCAGGAACTGGCACTCTTGGCCACTGCCTAAGAGGCCTATTAATGGAGGCGCCAGCCATGGGCAGAAGCTCCTGATATGTAGAAACTGACAGAGAAAATGGTGAGTAGAGTAAGTGTAGAAGAAAGGGGACATGCCACAGTTTTAGAGAGACCAAAGCAGCAAGAGCATTTGCACAATGTGCAAAGTCAGCCTTAACTAATTTATAGTCCGCCAGTCTACACAAGATTTGTTCCCCTACATCCCTCGTAAGTCCTTCTTTCTACACAAAGCAAGAGCATATAATGAATGGCAAAAAAATCAATCAATCAATCAATCAATGGGCCTATTCTATGGGTATGTGCCTGGAGCTTCAGTGTGGTTTCTTAGAGGTGTATGAATATATTTTGCAATTTTACTATTTTACCAAGCACAGTATTGTTCCAGAACAAATTAAAACATTTATAAGAAATTTCTGAATGTACAGCCGAATTAGAGCAAAAAAAACAGGTCGCAGGAGTATTCTGAGAACGGACAGCAGCTAAAATAGCCTGCCCTTCAGTGGGTCCCCGCTCAGAACTCAAGCTGGTTTTAGCTCATCTTGTGCCATTACAGAGATAACAAATCTGAAGCATATCAGACTGGTCCCACCCATACGCGCAGTCCAGATCCAAAATGCCAGCAAGTTCTCTCTGCACGAGAGATACAGCAACCCCAGATGATCGTTTCAGCCTGGTTAGGCATCATCAGTGAGGCATAGCTGATATCTCTCTAGGCACCGTGAGCAAGGGGTCCACTTCTGGATTACCCTTTAAACTAATGGAGAGCAAAAAACGGGTCACAAGAGTATTCTGAGAACGGACAGCAGCTAAAATAGCCTGTCCTTCGGTGGGTCCCCGCTCAGTACAGCCGAATTAGCTTTAGCAGTTACCTGAAATGTAATGTTGAGGTCCTTTTCATAAAATTTGTAAGACATGCTAAGCTTTGGGAAATTATCAAATACTTATCTATTTACCCTCTATGGTAGCATAATTTAGAGCACAGAGTTGAGCAAATATAAATGTGTTAAACGTTGATTTTGGTGTTCAGAAATGTTGAGTAATAGAGGTTTACATATTTAACTTATGTTGATAAGAAAGTGTCAGACTACAATGGAACAATGAATTGTATTAGCCACTTATGAAACAACCATTCTAAACATAGTGTGGATTGGAAATAACACTGGAATATTTCGGAAGAAGGCAAGACATTTTCCATTCCTTCAAGTAGTGACATTTGTAACCACACAGGTTGGATAGGTTTGTTAATGCTTAAAAACTTAGCTATACATGGGGTATCTTATTTGAAAACGTATTTTAAAATATCTTATCTTATGCACTAAAATAGTTTAAAATAAAAAAGAAGAGTAGCTTGAAGTGGATGTATAGTGTATTTACCAAGGGGATACTACCATCTAGTGGTTATGTTTTGGTACTGCCATCATTTTTTTCTGTTGTAACCACTACAGGGGCTGTAGTTATTATGGTGACATGAGCACTGTCATTACCATTTGAGAGTAAATTTTGAATGGATTGACATTCACCAGGCTCTATTGGGACCCTGCAGTACTTCTAGCATGAGCTGGTATGATCCAGCCTGAGCTAGTATGTTTAAATATGAAGTTTGTATTGCTACAACAGTATGCAAAAGCCTCAATTCCAGCATTGTAGTCTCATAGGAGCCACTGCCAATGCTTCTGCATTGGTACTTCTCCTGCCTACTGCGGATCCCTCAGCGCCACCATCAGCATTCTGATAAAAAACTGGGTCATTGATGCGGCCATTTTACCCGGCAGAGCTACAGCCCATTAGTTCCCCGAAGCTCTCCACGTTTGTTAACTGAAATCGACAAGGCTGGGACCTTCTAAGTTTGGCCTCAATCCATGCCTTATCCTTTTGTATATTATTTTCTGTTTTCTTTTTGTTTAATTGTGGTTTGGTAAAAGCCTAGTTTGTTGTAATGCCCTTGCATGATCTGCATTTGCACGATTCTTCCACTGAGCACTTAGCATCTCCCATGCAGCATTTGGCTAAGCCATATTATTTGCCATTTGTGTTTAACAATTATCTCACGGTCTATAGTCTGACATGCTCTGTGATTGAGCGATATGGCAATCTTAATATTGTCAAGCATATTTTTCTTACTATCTGACGTACTGTAGAAACAAATTATTGCAACCATGATTGCTGTTTATATTACTTATCTCCAACTATAATAAAAATTTATAAATCAGAAAATATATTTAAATATATAAACATATCAAAATATTGAATATTTTTCAAAATAATAAATCATAAAAAAAAAAAAATCTAAACATTTTAAAAGCTCATCCAAAATTATTATATCAAGTCCCAAGACTGAATTTCTGCTTTAACATATCAGATTAGCCTTAAAACAGTATGGTTAATATGTGCATAATATGTGATGAGATAATTTATAATAGGCAAGTGTGCTTAATTTGTTACATAAGCATATGGGTTACACAGAAGTAACAAGAGAGTCTTAGTTTTATAAAGTCTAAATTGCAGCAAACTTACAACCAATTTGCCAAAGTAGGTTAAACAGCCAAACTGTGACTAGAAAAGAGTTGGACAATATTCCCAAAGCAGCACTTTTTGCATTCATTTTCCAAATCAGTTTCCAGTTTAATAAAGTTTGGTATTTGGTGAGTTAAGCCTTTGTGGCATATCCTTATCAATCATCCATATCTACAGTGTGCACAGTATACTCTGAGTGATGCGATTCTTAACCAATGCTCTCTCCCTGCTCAACATAATAGTTTGTCATATATACATATTTTTGATTAAAATAAAAGCACTTAGACAAGATAAAATGTGTAATTATGAACTATGAGTTTTAACATTTTATTAATTGGAATCCAATTTGGTCTACAATATTGCCCATTTGCCATGTTTGCTAATAAAAAGAAAAACACATTGCTAAGATGGAAAAAAAGAATCTTTATTGAATAATGATGGACATATTGCTGAGGAAACTTTGCATTTCTCTAATAGTGTTATATTTACATTGTGGCCATTACAAAAGGCACTTGACATAAGTCATCGCATTAAAGACCTGACAAAAATCACATTCCACCCTATGTTCACCTAGCAGAACCAATTCCTACTTAAACATTTGCTCTGTTACTAACTCCAATACTGCAAACAAGACAAATTATCGTAAGACTTTAATAAAAGCATTTCAATTCTTATTAACAATACTTTCATGTCACCCTTTAAAGCTAAAATTCTATCTAATAAATATTTTATGAATCAGAGTGAATATCTGCATTGGCGGTGGTATAATAAACTCAGGCTTGTAGGAAAATACTATGGTACATCCATAATCACTAAATTACTATCATACCTTTATTGTCGAAATGCAGTAATGCCACATTATTCACTAAAGTTGGAATTGTGTGGAATTCAACCTAAATGTAAATTTCTTATAAAAAAAATAAAAGATCAATTGAAAGTATAGCTGGCTGAAAAAAATTTTTCCCACCCCTTTTGACTGATTTGGACTAAATGTTTACATTCACATTGAATTCCCACCAGTTCACATTTTACTGAATAACTCTGGGAGGTTTATTTTCTGATCATACTTAAAGGGACACTATAGGCACCAAAACAACAATGACACAGTTTGGGTGTATATCATGCCTCTGCAGTCTCACTGCTCAATTACATGCCATATGGGAGTTAAATCACATTTGTTTCTGTCTATGCAGCCCTAGCCACACCTCCCTTGGCAATGACTCACAAAGCCTGCATGAAAATATAAATGGTTTTATTTTCAATCAGACTTCAACTTGCTAGCTTTTGTTTTATCTCTTACTTTGTAAATTGAACTTAAATCACACACAGGAGGCTCCTGCATGGTCTAGAAAGCAATTAACAGAGCTGGAGATAAGAAATTGTGAACGAAACAGACTATGCAATAGAGGAAGTACAAACATTAGATCTCACTTTACAGGAAGTGTTTAGGAAGGCTGTGTGGGGCACGTGGAGGGAGGTGTGACTAGTACTTCAAAAACAATGTAATTTAACTACTAAATGGTAGAGAATTGAGCAGTGAGACTGCAGGGGTATGATCATTAGGTTAAAGTTGTTTTGGTGACTATAGTGTCCCTTTAATCTGGTAAATTAAAATGTACATCTTATTTCAGATCATGTTAGCTGACACATTGAAGGTAAACATTTCTCATTTTACAACCAACAGTTATGTTTTTATCAACATCCAAATCATTAACAAGACATTTCAGAACCTCTGCAACATATATAGCATTTCATGATTGCTTTAAGGAAAGTAATTCTTTGTTATCATTTTACTATGGAAACAATTGTGTTTCCTATAAGCCATCAAACGTTTATGATGGGCTTGTAGTATGTCTACATATCAGACATGGAAGACTTGATCACTAAATTTAATTTTTACAATAGTTTGTCTAACAGGGAAACCTGGAAGTTCACTCTGGTATAGATAGATTTAATATAAATATGGTTTATAAATTAAACTGCATTTGTGCTTAGAAGGTAGGTGAATATGTATCATCATTATCTACATACACAAGGCATAAACATTGGGCATAGTAATACAAAAAACAGACTTGGTTGTCAGGGAATCACAAGTCCTACAAGCCTTTCCCAAACATTTTGTTTTGCTTTCGGCTAGCAAATATTCACGAGAACTATTGATACAGACAAAGGTCTAATATTTGAATACTCCTATTGGGAATAACAGTGCAACATAATTAAAAGAACTCGTTTTGATGATGATTTAACTATGCATTAAATGCATGTAAGGGAACGACCCAAGAAAGAGCAGTTTTCTACAGAAAGCAAAGAATCCCCAACTTATTCAGCAAATATGAACAATAAAACAGAAAAATATCATCTTTTATCCAATATATCCAAACCACTTAATGAAAAACAAGCTTTTTATAATGCACCATAGAAATACATGGCATTCATGTGCGTGTCCTACATTAGAATATTCCTATATCCATATATATACACATACGTTTATATCTAGGCAATAATTTGGTTTGAAAACAGTAACCAAAGGTGGTGATGTCATAAAAAGCAGCAATTATACAGAACAAAATGAAGTGTGATAAAACAAAATTTGATGCCTCCCCCGTCACAAAATGCATTATATAATAATGGGTACCAGATTACTGTAGATATTAAGAGTTTGAATTCTTAACTCTTAAAGTGCAGAAAGGAGTAACTTTCATCCAATTAATGAATAGTAACAGTTAGTGCCAAGGCAGGCACACACTTCTTTGATTATCATGAGTTAAGATTTAAGAAGAGCAGGGGTAGGACTTTACTACGCTTCCCTTTCAGACGCTTTGATGAGAGTTGATTAACATATATACACGAGGCTTTCTAAACCTGTTAGTTATGTATACAATCGGGTGTTTCTAAGGGAGGCAATATTTGTTTAATCTCAAGAATATTTTTTTTTTAATGAGTTTAATGGGAGGTATTTGGTTAAAAAAAAAAAAATGTTGACATCTTATCTATATTGTATTATATGTAGAGCCTTTACATGTATGCATTGCAGTGGGTTATACTTAACGCAGAGGGTTTCTTAATATACAGAGAATAGCACTCTAGAAGCATTCATTTAAAAAAAAAAATTAAATGTTTCTCTCTTAACAAAAATTGAATATATAATATCACAAAGTTAAAAGAAAACAATAGCTAAATCTAAGAATGCCCTGTACAAAGAAAGGATTTCCTAACATTCACCAATACATTTACAACCCCTGATTGCATTTAAAATATTGGAAATTGCAGGTATTCCATTTTAAACTTTTTGCATTCAGAAAACAATGGACTTTATAAATCAAATTCCCTGTAATTTGTTTTAAATTGTATTTTGGAAATGTTTTGTTACATTTCTAATTGTAAAAAAAAATTAAAAAATTGTTCTTTTACGTAGGAACATATGTATTTCATCCACAGTTTCAATTTGAAACAGTATAATTATTAGTGCTCAGATAACTGATGATGCGCCATTGTTCAGGAAATGGCCTACACCTTGTCTTGGTGGTGCTGCAATTTCTTTATAGATTTAAGAAAACATTTACATTATGAACACTGTTCCCTTTAAGTTCCCTCGTGAAAGCTGTTCATTGTTTCTAATTGAATTTAGATAAAATTATTCATAAAAAACATAACAAAAAAACAAATAAACGCATAGTTGAAGTGAAGCAGTCATGTCTAGTCTATGGTTTGGTCTGCGTTATTTTGTATTTAAATATTTGTATTTATATAGCTGTTGCTGAATACAACTCACGTGATCCAACTAATAGTCAAGGATTAGGGAAATGCAATTCAACAACATTCTGAGCAGTAAACGTTGACTGGTTTTATCCAGTGGATTTCAAACAACAGTATCTAACGTTTGGACCATTAGTGGACTAATTTCACAATGCTTCTTGTTCAGTGCATGAATAAACACTTATTGGTTAACAAAGTGAGTCACATGGAACTCACTTATACATGATCCGTAATGTATTTTGGCTAAAGGTAAGTAATGTTGCCAAGCAGAAGTTTTAACTTGGAGCCAATGGTAATCGTGTAGTAAAGATAATATGACCAATATACTTCCATAAAGAATTGATGTGTATAGACATAAGGTTAGGTAATATGCTTGTATGAATGTCAAGTTTGGAAAATATGAGTCATTTGAGGGTGAGCATAGGCTAACATAACACTTTAAATACCAGGGGATATGGGTCACCTTGCAACAAAAACAGTGAATGTGAGAAATATGAGAAAGGGCAAACTCAGTAGCTTGCCCTTTGGTTCTCAGTATGAGAAGTCTCTGCTCAGGTATGAGTATGGGTCTCCTGTATGGCTCTCTACAAATGTTCAGTGTTTCCATTCAGAATTTACAATATCAACAGGGAGGGATTTAAAAAGTTATTGACACAATTCTGAAATCATTATCATCATCATCTCAATTATCATGGCATCTTTATGGAATGTTCTTGCTGATTGCCACACTTAAAGGACCACTCTAGGCACCCAGACCACTTCAGCTTAATGAAGTGGTCTGGGTGCCAGGTCCTTCTAGGGTTAACCCATTTTTTCATAATTATAGCAGTTTCAGAGAAACTGCTATAATTATGAATGGGTTAAGCCTTCCCCCTAATCCTCTAGTGGCTGTCTCATTGACAGCCACTAGAGGCGCTTGCGTGCTTCTCACTGTGATTTTCACAGTGAGAGCACGCCAGCGTCCATAGGAAAGCATTGTAAATGCTTTCCTATGAGACCGCTGAATGCGCGCGGCTCTTGCAGCGTGCGCATTCAGCGGCGGCGGGCGAGGAGAGGAGGAGGAGCTCTCCGCCCAGCGCTGGAAAAAGGTAAGTTTTTACCCCTTTCCCCTTCCAGAGCCGGGCGGGAGGGGGTCCCTGAGGGTGGGGGCACCCTCAGGGCACTATAGTGCCAGGAAAACGAGTATGTTTTCCTGGCACTATAGTGGTCCTTTAAGCACCACTCATATTTCAACATAAATAGAATTGTTGGGTAACATTTTGCTAAACATTCCCTTTGCATGTATAGGTCAATGACACTGCAATGTTAATAATTAAAACAGATGAGATGTGTGCAAATCTCAAACAGCAAATAATTACTGCTAGGCAGTCACATTACTAGCCACCACAATTTACTCGGGCAAGTAAAGATCAAGACATGCTACCAGTCTGATCAGCTATGAAACACTGCCGCTTGTAAATCTGACTGTATATGCATAGTATAGCAAAGGTCAAGCAAATAATTTCAATAAAATAAGCAAAAGTTCAACTAAAAGCTAAAAACACATAAACAATGTGAACACTATACAAAACACATTGTTTAATTATAACTTGCAATATTCCACGAAATAGATTACTACCTCTAGTGCAGTGGACACTAAACTGGTTGCCCTTGACAATTTGTTTTTATTTACATTTGTCATTTTATTTCTATAAATCAAAAATAATGAAACTGCACACATCCAAATGATGGTAAGGCACTACACAATTAATAAAAAGATGTGATTAACATTCTGGCTACTATGGATTCTTTGACAACCAAAGGGATTGAGCATCATATTTTTGTCCATGATTAGTATTAATATAGCTAGATATGTATGTTGGCTTGTAACGTTGCCTCAGTTATTCTACAACTAAGCTTACATGCTGATCACATCAATATGGAGTAAAATGAAATACTGGTAAGAGTAACATAGTCAGAGATAAAGTCATCAGCAGGTCACCTGCTTGAAGCCCTAAGGCAGTATACTTGTATTTTAAAAGTTTGAGATATCTTTCGTGATGACATTCTATAAGGGACTAAAGAAAAGAAACATGGTTAAATGGTAGCAAAGTTAGATTAGGGATGATAATCGGTGAAACTTGCTACTTTTTGAACCACTATCAATTTAGTTTTAAGAAACATGTAAATCTATATATTTAAGGCACTTGGGAGGGCAAAAGAGAGATATTCAACAAACTTACACATTGTTATTGTAAGTACAGTAACCAAACAGGAATCTAATAAAACTATCCACTGATCTAAGGGTGCTATATTGTACGCTGGATGACTCTTTGTTAAAATAGGATTTCAATATCCTTCCTTAAAAGTACAAACTAATGATACATGCACTGTGTATCATTTTATTGCTGGGTTTTTCACCAAGCAAAATGTATATCTGTTCAAGAGTAATTAAGAATGAAGGAGCATGGTTCATAATTGGCAAAGTTTTGACATAGGATGTATCTACAAGGTTCAATTTAGAGTTACCTTGCAAACCCTTGTAGAGCAATAACGGGTTAGAAGGGAAAATACAAGAAAGTTCCACAACCGTTTTGAAACAGGTTATATAGATAATGCATAAAAATATGTATTAAAAAAAGAAAAGAAAAAAATACATATGCACACCTTTGAATATTCCTATTTTTGTAGTATTCCCAACATATACATTCTCACGATACAGAAATTAAGGAGTACAACTCTGCTCATACCTGATCTCCCAGTGAACAGTACTTCTTATTTAGATTCTGAAACAGAGATTGTGGGATAGGGGCAGGTGACCATCTAGGGGTGAAACGTTAATATGCATCAGAGTTTCTGAGGAGTGTTCCATTTCCTTAAAGGACCACTATAGTGCCAGGAAAACAAACTTGTTTTCCTAGCACAATAGGGTCTTTGGGTCCCCCTCACCCTCAGGGTCCCACTCCGGCTGGGCTGAAGGGGGAGGAAGGGGTTAATCACTTACCTTTCTCCAGCGATGGGCTCCCTCGGCGCTGGGGAAATCTCCTCCCTCTTCCGACATCAGAGCTGAATGCGCATGTGTGGAAAGAGCCGCGCGCAGTCAGTCAGTTCATAGGAAAGCACTTCTCAATGCTTTCCTATGGACTTCAGCGTCTTCTCAGAAGCGCCTATAGCGGCTGTCAGTGAGACAGTCACTAGAGGCTGGATTAACCCTATTGTAAACATAGCAGTTTCTCTGAAACTGCTATGTTTACAGCTTCAGGGTTAACCCTAGATGGACCTGGCACCCAGACCACTTCATTGAGCTGAAGTGGTCTGGGTGCCTATAGTGGTACTTTAACAGAGCCCTGGAAGGCCTGCTTGTTCTTTTAAAGATACATTGTGTTAAATTCAACAATTCTGAAGAAACAGGGAATGACTTAAGGTTACATTTACACTACTTCAGATCTAACTATGATTTTTCAAATTTACTTCTCCAGGGGCAGGATCATTTATTTTATATGATCAGTATCAGTGAAATGTGTGCTGATTATATTAAGTAAAAGGAATATTAATATTATAATAAACACAAATTGCTTAATTTAGCCCTGCCTTTTCCATATCTAGAAATCTGGAGATATGAATCTCACAGGGCTGGCTACGACTATATATTGATTGGTCCTCCTAAAATAGATGTACGTAATGTTCAAATCATGAGCTAAATAGGAATTGCTGAAAACAGACTAGGAAGATAATTTTCTCAAGTCATATTTGACCTAAATCTACAAGCTGGTTATTGGTGCATAGTTCAATCAACCCCCCCATATTGTGTCATTGTGCAGAAATGATAAACTAAGTGTAAAATATAAATAAAAAACAAAATAGATGGTATACTTTTGAATTTGTTTCCATGTATAATGTCAATCAAAACAAAACACACTGATACATTGGTCTTTAAAGGAACTCTGTTAGGAATACAAACATGCATTCCTAACACTATAGTGTTAAACTATTTAGCTCACCGGCCCCCCTGAGAAAGTATTAAACTTACCTTTTATACCACACTTTAGTCAATCCAATACAGGAATAGGCTATAGAAACCAGAAGCACTACAGTAAAGGAGCACTATAGGGCCAGGAACACCAACATGTATTCCTGAACCTATAGGGTTAAAACCACCATCTAGTCACCCTGGTCCCTCATGCCTCCCTAAATATTGTAAAATCTTACTTGTATTCAAGTATGCAGCTGCTTACATTGTCCCGGTTTTGTTTAGATCTACCCACTGCCTGCTGACATTATCAGAAGTGGTAGCCTGATCCAATCACAATGCTTCCCCATAGGATTGGCTGAGACTGACAAAGAGGCAGATCAGGGGCAGAGCTAGCACAATTCAAACACAGCCCTGGCCAATCAGCATCTCCTCAAGGAAATTAACTGAATCATTAAATCTCTATGAAGAAAGTTCAGTGTCTGCATGCAGAGGGAGGAGACACAATGTTTGGATGCATTTTAGGCAGCCATGACCCAGGAAGGATCTCTAACAGCTATCTGAGGAGTGGCCAGTGAAGTTATCACTAGGCTGTAATGTAAACACTGCATTTTCTCTGAAAAGACAGTGTTTACAGCAAAAAGCCTAAAGGTAATGATTCTACTCATCAGAAGAAATTCAATAATCTATAGTTGTTCTGGTGACTATAGTGTCCATTTAAGCTGTAGTGTTCTGGTGACAATAGTGTCCCTTTAACATATAAATATAATTTTCCATCCTATTTTTCAAAAATTGGCCATTAACCCCTTAAGGACACATGACATGTGTGACATGTCATGATTCCCTTTTATTCCAGAAGTTTGGTCCTTAAGGGGTTAAAGTCATTTGCACTTCGGAAACTTATTTAGTTAATCACTAAAAAGAAAAAAAAAATCTTATTCTGCTGGAGATTAATGTTTTATGTTAATACTATGTAATTTACAATTCCCTCATGTCTCAAAAAAAAAAGTCAGCATCCTATATATACATGTTTTTCTTTTTTTATAAAAACATTTTATGGGTTTGCCAAACCCAGTAGACAGTCAGACATACAAAAGTTCTTATTTTTGGTCAATATGCACTTATCCTGCACTCATGGTTTTAAACTGAACTTTTAACCTACTATGAAAATCTCTCCAGAGACCTAAATACCACTCATCGGTAAAATATGAATAAATGACAGCACGTATGCTGTACCTATTCATTTTTCAATATGACTTCATATATTGACATAGTTATGATATATACGGAACCTTATATATGGGCTTATTCACTGCACAGTATGTTGTAGCAGAGTTAGAGACTGCTCATCTGGTTTGAGATTGATTTTGAAACTCACCACAAGTCACTTATGTTAAAAAATGACACACCAGGTTACTTTCAGGCATCAATCCATCTGAAATGCATGTGATAGGGTTTTACCTTGTAAGCATACTCTGTTTCTCCACATTCATATCTTTTTAGTTTAGCTTTAAAAAAAAAAAAAATAAAGCTACTTAGTTCAACTGATTTCTGAATGGCTGAGCTACAGTTAGAAAGAACCAATTAAAAAAATGGTTTGTAAAAAGGAAGCAAGTAGCTACAGAAAGTTAGAGTTTAGAAAAACGAAAATGATTACTAACAGGAATATAAAAAAAAACTATTAAATGGATTTAAGTAGTGTTGGTGCCTGGAGTGTGCCTTTAATAGATCTGTTCTACATGGTTTTTGGTGCCTTCATACTACACAGTTCTATGAAGACCCAATAAAGTAATAGTATGCTATCCAACAACACAATCTACAGTGACACCAAGTGGCCATCACCTAAAATGCAACTATTGCTCATTGCTAAGGTTTATAAGCAATGCCAATGTCAGTGAAAAATAATATTGCATTTATAAAACTACAAATAAAAAGTGACCTTCCTTACAAA